TTCCAGTAGGAGACAGCGTTTCCCCGGGTTTGGCCCGCTGGTGTCCCAAGGAATAGTGGTAGGGTTGCTCCAGCCTCTTCCCACGCTTCCTTGCCGGTCCGGCTCCGGGTCGGGACTCGTGTTCGGCTGGGGACATTCTGGCGCCGTCCTGTCGGGAGATGGAGCGCTTCCGGGGCTTCTGCTTTGTGTTGAACCTATAACCCCATGGTAGACTACACCCCCACTGTGTGTGGGCAGATTTTTTATGGTCAGAGATCTTCTTAGGTTCTTCTTGTTTTCTGTGTTTTTAAAGAATTGGTTGGGACTTTAGACAGCACTGATCTGTACAGTTACAGTAAGGAAACAAATGTATCGATAGTTTGTGAGTCCTTTGGAAATGTCCAGACTCAGTTATGATCTTGGTTAGCTCATTCTACCACTGTGGGCTGCTTTTTCAGCAGTTAGAGGGATATTCTAATCAAGAAATTTGCTAGAAAAAGGTGGACCCCGAGGCCTCTTATTTACCAAGGAGTATCCGTCCTTTGGGTGAGAGCGAGTTACTCTGTGACTCAAATGTTTGTCATGTGACTTCGTTAAATTTTTCATTTGTCAGTTATTAACGATTTGTCATATTCTTGCAATTCTTGTCCAAGTGCATCTGTTGTTTTTACGTGGCTATAGTTACCATGTGTTTACAATGGTATATTCTGCTCTTTTCGTTTAAAGTTGTAAAGACGTTTTCCTAATTGCTACATACTAGTGGAGTTTTTTGTTGTTGTTGTTGTTGTTGTTGTTTATTTATGGGATTTTTTTTTTGGATTTTTTGTTTTGTTTCCGAGACAGAGTATCACTGTTGCCCCAGCTAGAGTGCAGTGCTGTCAGCATAGCTCACTGCAACTGCTGGGCTCAAGCGATCCTCCTGTCTCAGCCTTTGGAGTAGCTGGGACTACAGACCTACACCACCATGCCTGGTTAATTTTTTTCTATGTTTTTGGTAGAGACAAGGTCTCACTCCTGCTAAGGTTGGTCTCAAACTCCTGACCTCAAGTGATCCTCCTGCCTCGGCCTCCCAGAGTACTGAAATTATAGGAGTTTTAACATTACCTGTTTCTTCTCAGGGTTTCCAGAAAGGAAGGAAAGCCACAGATTTGCCAACTGGTAATGCTTTATACCTTCTTTATAATAGTTGGTCTGGGTTATTACCTTTTATATTATATATAATAATAAAGCTTGATTACATTTCTACTCCTTTGACTTCAGATGTAAGCTTATTTTAGTATATTACTTAGTTTTAAATGCAAATGTCTATAAAAATGTCATTGTGCTAATACAGAAGCCAGAGTTTGAAACCGTCCCAAGAGAGTAGCCTATTAGGTCTTATTTAAAGAAGCTTACCAGAGGGCTCTTAGTGAATTCTAAGGGGAAGTATCTTTTGCTTAGCATAAAAGGAGTCACAAATAGAGTGCAAAATAATCAAAGGTCCTATGGTATTTCAACAAACTCAAACTATATTGTTTTGTTGTTTTCTAATTTTCCTATTGCTCCTTTAAACATGTAGCCTAATATCTGGGACATAAATCTCAGTTTTGGTCTTGGTTGAATAGATGAGATTGCATAATATATGCAGAAAAGCTAATTTTTATTTAGGAATTTCTGAACTTATTGGTTTGATGATAGTCTTAGGGTAACAATGAGACAAATACGGTTTTTGTCTTTAAAATTCCCATTTTCATTTTAGTCAGAGAGTTCAGATACTTCAAATTCTGAAAGTGAACCAGAGAGTGAACCAGAACAAGTTTCTGGGTACCACAAACTACTTGCTACATTAAAGAATGTTTCTGAGGAAGAAAAGGAAGATGAGGAGGAGGAGGAAGAGGAAGAAGAAGACAGTGTTGTAGATGATACAGAAATGAATGATGAAGATGATGGTAGTGATGTCAGTGTGGAAGAAGAGAAGGCAGCAGAGTCTACTGAAATGCGAAAAAGTAAGTGTCTTTGGTGTGGGCCTGTTGTCTTTGTTAGGACCATGGCAGATTGCTCTATGGACACGGTGCCCTGTACTGCATGAATGAGAGTGCAGAGATTTAATCTTGGTGGGTTTGATTATATCTTTGAGAATCTGATGGAAACACAGGACCCTTTCCCAGAAAAAGGCAGAAATAACATTTTTGCTTACAATTTCAGGACTTCGTCAATCCTAGTGAAAGACCCTCGAATACAGAGGAAGGAGAACATAATTCTGCCTTTGTGACTGTCTTAATTTATTGCGAGGTTACTGTTCCTGCCTTAGGGAGAACAAGTTTGATGGAAGATAGACATAAAAATATACAAAAATTTTCAAGCAACAGATTGCAGTTGCCTGGAACAGCTGGATCAGTGGAACTCTGCTAGGGTAAATTAGAGACGGCTTCAGGGAAGAGCTGGCATTGAAAGCCCAAAGGAACTCTCACTCAGACTTCTAGTTGACTTTTTTCTTTAACTTTAAAATGAACTTCATTGAGGGATGATTTACATACAATAAAATGTACCCAATTTGAGTATATAATTTGAGGAGTTTTACATCATTGTTGTAAAAACATCCATGTTATTAGCACCAAAATCAAAATACAGAACATTTCCACTACCTCCAAAAAGTTCCTTATTCTTTTGCAGTCAGTTCCCCACCCTTGGTACCAGGCAGTCACTGACCTGCTTTCTATCATGATAGATTCATTTTATCTGTTCTGGAAATTCGTATAAATGAAATCATACAATATGAACCCTTTGTGTCTGGCTTCTTTTGTTTCTCATGGTTTTGTGATTCATCTATGTTGTTCGTGTATTAGTTGTTTGTTACTTTTTATTGCTGGGATAGTGTATTCCATTGTCTGGATATATCCAAGTGACTTTTTACATCACATTATTTTAATTTCTATTTTCCTTACAGCCTTGTTTTTTTCTATCCTATCAGGTGTTATGTACCATTCTTAGTATTTTAACTAATCAGCTTTACTGAGATAAAAATTAATTGCCTCAGATTTAGGGGTTTTTGTTTGTTTCTATTTTTCTTTGCTTTTTTGATTTTTAAAAATGAAAATTTTTTTTAAATTTTAAAAGTCATACATGTTTGCTGTAAAAATTTGAGAGGGTAATATAATTAATCTATATTCCCACCACCCAGAGATAAATGCCTTTAACATTGCATGTAACCTTTCAGACTACATTTTTATGGACGTATGTGTGAGTATCAGTGTGCATGTATATTTATGTGTATAATGGTCTCATACATTTCTGTAACTTTCCATGTGGATTCAGATTAGCTTCTTAATTACATAGTATTCCATTGTAAATGATACATGATAATTTAATTAATATCCCATTAATAGACATTTCACTTTTTTCTAGTTATTTCTTATAATCAGTGCTACTTTGAACATCCTCTCGTGTACATTTTAGTGTGCTATGTCTAGTTATCGTTTTAGAATAAGTTCCTAGAGCTGCAAGTGGGTGTATTAATCACAGTTCTTCAGAGAAAAAGAACTAATAGGATGCGTATGTATACAGAAAGAGATCTGTTTTAAGGAGTTGGTTCTTGTAATTATGGAGGCTTGGCAAGTCTGAAATAACTGATAGGAGAGGATGGCAGATTTGAGACTCAGAAATGAGTTGCATTTGAAATCCAAAGGCAGTCAGACAGAAGACCCAGGAGGAGTTGATGTTTGTTTGAAGTTTAGAGGCAGTCTGCTGGAAGAATTTGCCTGTGCTTGGGAAAGGTCAGCCTTTTGTTTTGTTGAGGCCTTCACCTGATTATATGCAGCTCACCCACATTATGGAGACTAATCTGTTTTATCCAGTCTAACAATTGTAATGTTAAGTCTCATCCAAAAACACCCTCACAGAAACATCCAGAATAATTTTTGACCAAATATCTGGGCGCTGTGGCCCAGCCAAATTGATACATAAAATTCACCATCACACTGCATCCATGATAAGGCTTAATTTTTTTTTTTTTTTTTTTTTAAGAGACAGGGTCTTGCTCTGTTGCACAGACTGGAGTGCAGTGGCCCAATTATAGCTGCTGTAACCTTGAATTCCTGAGCTCAGGCGATCCTCCTGCTTCAGTCTCCTGAGAAGATGGGATTACAGGTGTGAGCCACCACACCCTGCCCAGGCTTAATTTTGAAATCTGTGTCTTCTACCTGAATTTGCCTAAAAGCAAATAATATTGGTGATCATTGGTATAGACTAAGGAATTAGATTTTATTTGTCAACAGAAGTATAATTATAATTATGAGTAAATAATTTTACAAAATGTTTTTCAAAACTGCAGATGTAGCCTTATCTGCTGACCCTGAGGGAAAAGATGGGGAAGGGCCACCTGGCACATCACAAGAATCCCCCGAGGAGTTCACAGATGCCAAACATGAGTCACTGTTCAGCCTGGAAACCAATTTTCTCGAAGAGGAAAGTGGAAACGACTCTTCTTTAAAAGTATCACAAGGTCATAGCACAATGTGTGTTGTTTGAATTTACCAGGTGCTTAGTACACTGTTTGTGGACTAATGCACATTAACTCTGTTACTGGAATGAGCAACCATAAAAACTGTTTATTGGCTAGATCTAGAACTGGGAAAAAGAACTTCTCGAAGGTTTTTTGTGTCTTTCAATGGTTAGTCAGTGTTGGGGTTGAGGGATGTTTAGGACAACAAACAACTTAAGAATGATAGTAGGGAAGGAGTTCTCCAGGCCTCACATTTCCATGATTGATTCCATAATTGGAATCAGAGAAGGACTTCCGATTTTTTCCCCAAGCAGGGAAGGAAGAGAAAGGAAAAAAGGAGAAAATACTTCCCATTTTTTCTCTCTACTCCTGAATTGCTCTTCCTTTTGGAGCAGTAATTTTTCAGGTTTGTAAGACCCAGGAGTGGCTAATCTGTGTGGTACCAGGGAAAGCCTCAAAGCCAAAAAGCCCCACCGCATCTCCCCTGTTTCTCTCAGCCTCTTGACCATGTCTGTGACCAAATGTTAGTCACTCGGACAAGGCCTGCCTGTGGGAGCCTTAGGCAGGTCTCTGCTATCTCAGGTCCAGTTTCTCAGCCTGTGCCTGGCTGGGCAAGTCAGGCTGGTCTCATTCTGTATCCTGACCGCCTTCATTGATCCGAGTGCCATTCTTCAACCCAGCTTTACCTTAATGAAGCTGAAATTTATTTATTTATTTATTTATTTTTAGAGATAGGGTCTGGCTCTGTCACCCAGGCTGGAGTGCAGTGGCGTAGTCATAGCTCACTGCAGCTTCAAACTTCTAGGCTCAAGTGATCCTCCTGCCTCAGCTTTCTGAGTAGCTGAGACTACAGGTGTGGGCCTCTGCTCCCAGCTAATTTTTTTGGTTTTTTGTAGAGACAGGGTCTGACTGAATTACGCAGGTTGGTCTCAAGCTCCTGGCCTCAAGCAATCCTCTTGCCTTAGTCTCCCGAAGTGCTGGGATTACAGGCATGAGCCACCATTCCTGGCCTGAAGCTGAAATTTTAATCCTCATTTAGCTCATTTAGTTCTACTGACTGTTATGCAGAAGAGGGAGAAGTGGCAGATAGATTTTAGTACAAACCCCATTCTTAACTATCAAAACTTAGATACCCTGGAGGAAACATAAGGAAGCTTGACTATCATCCTAAAATTTCTCTAGTTGTTTTGCTATACATATATATTAGCACCTAGAATTCTTATGTCCTATTGTTTGTGTTTATGTTAGGTATTTAATAAAGGTGCATTTCATTTGAAGTCTTACCTTTTGGATTCTTGAATGGGTCATTTAACTTTGCTCTGTTTCTTAAGAGTGGGTCTGGGAGAGAAGGTTGGGTTGCGTGGCTAGCTCGGAGCACTGAAGATTACTCAGAGTGCAGGTGCTATCATGTGGATCGTTTGTTCAGTTCAGTTGAATATTGAACATTTCTGTGTGTCTTGCAATACAGTGTTGATCAGACATGGAACCTGCCTCAGAGATGCTGCAGTCTGCTAGATGAGATAAGACATGCACTTAATAATCCGTGTTGGGATGGGTGGGTGAGGCTGGGAGGAGAGGAGAGAGTGATAACTATATAGGAGACCAGGCCTCTTAGGGGAGGCCTGACACAGTAAGTCCTTGGAAAGTATTATGAGTCAGGGTAACATTAAATTGGTAATATTTGTATATGCAAAAATGAGGTGAAGGAGAGCCTGGACTTTTAGTTGAAGGAAGGAAAGGCACAGAGGCGGAAGAATTTGAGGGCCATATAGTTCAGAAATCACACTGGGGAGGCAGGTTGGAGGTGCATCCCAAAGGTTTTTGAGCTAGGAAGTAATGTGATTGGAGAAATACTTGAGGAAGGTGAACCCGTCAGAAGCTTTTAAGCTCTGGACTGGGCTAGAGGATGGGGAAAGGAGGTGGAAAAAAAGATGAGTTAACACTGTGAAGATCAACATGGTATTCATGAGGGAACACCGGAAAACCCCCTCTATTTGCTCTAAGTGTGCTGACATTTTTTATTTCTGAATTAGATCCGTTTCTACAACATGTGAACAAAGAACTGAAAGAAAAAGACATTCAGGCTTTTCCCACAAATCCCAAAACTACCCAGCAGCTAAAAGTAAGTGTTGCTTGATCATCCCAGTCACTGACGGAGAAAGCTCTAAATAAAAGTGGTCTTGGGTTCTAGTGGTCTCCCAGAATGTATGATGTACACCAGTAGTAGATGGCTTGATAGAAACGGGGCATAGAAAGGCTGAAGAGCCTAGTAGGGCACAGGTGTAGCTAGAAAAGGCACTGGGAAGCTAGAGTGTGAGCACTAGATAAAACAGTTTTGGCTAAGAGTGGCTTTGGAGGCAGGTGTGCCAGGGTTTAGATCAGCATCTGCAAGGGGCTTGACCTGAGGCAAGTTAATCTGCGTCTTTGTTGTTCACTATTCTGATCTGTTAGAGGGGGACAGTAATGCCTACCTCAAAATAAAATAATTTCACTTACTAACTAATATGTAGTAATCATTTAGTAAAACAGTGTTCAGTAAAACAGTAGGTACTACTATATTGTTCATTTGTTTGAAATATCTGAGATAGGTTCACAAATAAATCATTCAGATATTGGGCAGTTTTTGCTGCTTTGTTGGTTTTCACCACCGATATTGTTCATGAGTGTAGGTCACCTTCTTTTTTTTTAATTTTATTTATTTATTTATTTTTGAGACAGAGTCTCACTGTGTTGCCCGGGCTAGAGTGCCGTGGCATCATCCTAGCTCACAGCAACCTCAAACTCCTGGGCTCAAGCAATCCTTCTGCCTCAGCCTCCCGAGTAGCTGGGACTACAGGCATGCGCCACCATGCCCGGCTAATTTTTTCTATATATTTTTAGTTGTCCCATTAATTTCTTTCTATTTTTTTTAGTAGAGACGGGGTCTCGCTCTTCCTCAGGCTGGTCTCGAACTCCTGAGCTCAAACAATCTGCCCGCCTCGGCCTCCCAGAGTGCTAGGATTACAGGCATGAGCCACTGTGCCCGGCCTCACCTTCTTTTTAGTTGCAGTTTTTGTTGAGGCAATAATTACAGATACACATGTGGTTGTAAGAAATCATACAAAAGCATGCTGTACTCTGCCTAGTTCCCTCAATGGTAACATCTTGCACCTGTCTTACTGAGATTTCTCTGGTTTTGCTCCTATTTAATGTATGTATGCGTGTGCATATTTAGTTCTATACGTTTTAATCAATGTGTAGGTTCCTGTATCTGCCTCCACAGTCAAGATGCAGAACATTTCCAGCACCACATGGATCCTTGTTGCCCTTTTATAACCACAGCCACCGCCCTCTGCACCCCACCCCCCTCCATTGCTAAGCCCTGGTAACCACTAATCTGGTCTCCATGTTGAAATTTTGTCATTTCAGAAATTTTAAATAAATGGAATCGTACAGCATGAAATCTTTTGAGATTGGCTTTTTTCACTCGAACTAATTCCCTAGAGGTTCATCCAAATTATTTCAGCTGTCAGTAGTTCATCTGTCTTTATTGCTGAGGTAGTCCTATTTTTAGATCAGCAGTTTTGCTGCAATGCAAAAATTCCCAAATTTGTATCCCACAAAATAGAAAAAATAGTATTCTTGAGAATTCAAACAAAGTGGAGAGATTTCTTGTCATGGGATTTGTCAGAACCTTTAGTATCTAATGTACATTGTGAATCTCCTTCAGGGAGATTAGGTTTTTTGATACTTACCAAAGTTATGCGATCATGGAGCACTCTTTTTCTTGAATGAATTTTGACTCTTCCCAGAATATATTCCAGAGAACAGCATGGGAAACACTGGTAGAGTGAATAGCTCAGATTTGAAGTTAGAAACCTTGGTCTCTACGCCTCAGCTCGATTCTCCTCTGTGTAAACTTTATTTGGATCATACAATCTCTATGTGAGCCTCAGTGTTTCCTAAACTATGAGTACTATGGTACCTGCCTTGCAGGGTTGTTGTGAGGATTGAATGAGATGATGTATAAATCATGAAAGTCCAGTAAATTATAGAGTATCAGGTGAATGTAAAGTGTTATTAATTTCTAAATTGGCTCTTGTTCTGTCTCTCTCCTAGTGGCCTGTTCTAGGCCAGCTTGTCTTTTCATCCAAGTTTCAGAAGTTGGAAACATTTAAACCCCCAAAGGATATTGACTTCCAGTCACTTCATCTCCAGAAGCCTCTGGGATCCACCTGGGCCAAGACCAACAGCCAGTTCCTGTCTGGTCCCCAGAAATCAAGTAGCCCCTTCACCCCTCTCCAGAAAGAACTCTTCTTAATTATGAATTCTTACCAGGACCTGTTCTACCCAGAAAGGACTGCCCTAAAGAATGGGGAAGAGATCCGCCATGTGTACTGCCTGCATGTGATAAACCATGTCCTTAAAGCCAATGCCCAGGTGCTTGGCAACAATAGCAGACGCCGAAGCCAGAAACTTGGAGTGGGTGACGACGATGACTTCAGGGACCAAGGGCTAACCAGGCCCAAGGTGAGTGGTTGCAGGAAAGCTTTGCCCATGAGAAGGAGGCTGCAGGGCACTGCCACATACTAATATATAAGTGCCTGACACTTAGCAGGTACTTGGATGTTTTAATAATTGACTGGAATAATGAATAAGCCCAAACACGAACACTTAAGTGGGCCAGGTAGTGTCAGAGCAGCACTGCAGACAGCCCAGTGGACTATTTCTGACAGTGGATCTAGCTGGAAACTTGTGAAAAGAGGGTACTTCATGATACTCTCCTTCAACCGAGAACATAGATAAATAACACTCTATTATAAATCTCTTCTTTGTGATTGCCAGAGCTGGATGAGACCTTAATGAGCCTTTATCCAATACTCACACATTGTGGCTGTGGATAGAGACCCAGATTCATAGAGGGCCTTGCTAAAGAGAACCAGGGAAAGAGTAGCAGAGATGGAACTAGAACCTAGGACTCTCTTTGCTAAGCCACAAAAATATGTCAACCTTTGAAAACCAAAATCCCTGTTTGCCACTGTAAAGTTATTGCTGCTTAAAGTGGTGATTACAGTTGTTCGTGGTCATAAGTCTGAGCTCCGGTGCATTTAAGGAAGTGTCTTTTAATTCTGTGTGCACTTTTCGTGACATTATGGAGCTAGTTCTTGCCTCCCACCCCCACCCCTTAGCCTATGTCTCTTCATTTTGAAGAAAACTCATCCTTTTAAAATTTTCTCAGGGAGCTTAATAGGATTCTGGGATTTTAATACTGATGTGGTTCTTAGAGATTTCTTAGTCAAACCTCTTTGTTTGGTAACTTGGGAAACCAAAACCCAGACACTAACTTAGTGTCACAGGTGGGACAGTAACTCAGCCCTCTTAAATCTTGGTCCACCGTCCTTGTTCTGTAGGAAGCTGAATCACTACACTCCTTGGGCTGTGCTGGTTGCCTAGTTCTGGGAAGCTACTGCAGAGTCTTGAACATCAGGATCATAAGGTTATTTGTGTCCATTTAGAACTGCGTAGACAAATAAGAGGCAGATTACCCATGAAGCATATTTTTAATTTGGTGAATTGCATGATTTGATTGGGGTTATGTCCATTAATTATATTGTTTACATAAAGACAGTTAGAAATTAACCATTTATTAAGCATCTTCTGTTTTTGTTTTCAGCACTAGCTTTAAGCATTTCTGAAAATGCTTGAAAACTGGGTCCTGTTTTTCCCATTAAATTATGGTCTTATTTCAGAAATGCTTTGTCATCATTTCTGAAAAATATATTAGGGAATGCACTAAAAATATAATGATGTATTAATCCTTTCTTACCTGCTTTATTTCCTCTCTACTTATTCCATTTGTTTATTCAGCATATATTTATTCAGTGGGTCTCATGGATAAAAATACCGCGCTAAGTGTTGTGCTTGGCTTATCGTAAAGGGTATTTTCAAATTCTGCTTGAGAACTGTCTCCCATAGAGCCATGGGACTAAAGTCCATAGGATGTGGTGCTGTGGGTATGAAAGGTGCTCAGCTTCTCGTGCTGAGCCAGGCCCTGTGCAAAGGGGACGACATAGATATGGTTCCTGGCCGGGGGTCACTGCTGTACATGGGCTTTTTAGCTCCACTTGCAGCAGGTTCACCTCCTGTTCCTTCCCCTTGCCTCTACCAAGGCCGCCGTTGCTCTCTCCACAGGTACTGATAGTGGTGCCATTTCGGGAAGCTGCTTTGCGGGTGGTACAACTCTTCATCAGCCTCCTTGAGGGCGACAGCAAGAAGAAAATCATTGTGAGCAATAAAAAGAGGTTTCAGGGAGAGTATGGCTCTGCTCCCGAGGAGAGACCACCCAACTTGAAGAGGCCTGAGGATTATGAAGCTGTGTTTGCAGGCAACATTGATGACCACTTCAGGATTGGTAATTCTCCTTATCAAAATTGAGATACCGTGGGACCTAAGGTCTATGTAGCGGGAGGCTGGAAGCCTGGAATTAGACGTTCTCCCAGTGGGTCATTCACTCAGCCTTCTGACAGAAGCAGTGTGCATTTGAGACATCTTGTTTGCCTGGGGAGAGGGTTTTGCCTTGGCTAATGGGGTGGAGAGAGTCTCTGAGGCTATATATTAAAGACACATGCACGTTTATAACAGAAATGTCTCAACACACCCATAGCTGGTAGCACACAGGCAGATGCTACAAGGCATTCTCAGGGAAGGTGGAAGTGACAGAGGCTGGGTGGGGTCATTCTGGGGAAGCTAAATAAACTGAATGTGCAAAGGGTGGACTCCTTCCTGTCTGCTGTGTAGAGTGCCTACCCCTGAATTATCTCCACATGTGACTTACCCACTCCCACCCAACCTTTCACGTTTTTGCTTGTCTCTGATTCAGCTCTCATTTAATTGGTTGATCGTACCTTGTTAGAATAAAGTTCCTGGGAAAATGTTCTTTAGTCACATATGCTTGTTCACAAACGTTTCTTGAGTATCTACAGTATGCGAGGCACTGTTAAGAAGCTGGGGATATCTGTAGTCCCTGCTACTTGGGAGGCTGAGGTGGGAGGATTGCTTGAGCCCAGGAATTTGAGGCCAGACTGAGCAGCCTAGCAAGACACCCTCTCTGAAAAATAAAAAAAATAAATAGAAGAAGTGAGGATGTAGAAATAAAAGTTATGGTTCCCATTGCTAAGGAAGTCCAGCGTAAGGGGAGAAACAGTGCAGGATAATAAGTATGCAGCGAGTGTTCTGGAGCGTTTAAAGCAAACTCCTCACCCGAAGTGGGGGCAGGGTGATTAGGGAAGTCATCCTGGCAGAGGTGCTGTCTCTATTAGGATGAAACCTATGCAGGGTTTAGCCAGTTATAAAACAGAGTGGTTGGCGTGGAGGAAAACATTTCAAACAAGAAACTGCCTATGTGGAGACATCAGGGTAACTAAGCTGGAACCACCTAAGATTTACACAGGCTTTGATACGACTGGAGTATAAGGTGTAAGGCAAGGAGAGCTGATGTTTTGTTTGGAATATATATAGATGTCCAGCAAGCACTTGGTATAATATATTGGTCTGGAGTTCAGGAAGGAGTTGTGGGCTAGAAATGTAAATTGGAGTGAAGATGATGTTAAACCCATGGTTAGTGAATAAATTTACCGGAAGTGTTATGTGGAATGAGAGTAGATCTGACAGGTGAATCTAGGAGTTTGTGGTATTTGGATCTGGAAAGATAGACATGGGCCATGTCAGTGATCGAAGCAGAAGCGAGTGTTGGAGTCCCGGAAACTATTAGCAAGGAAGAGAGCATTTCAAGGAGGGTGTGTTTAATGTGCCATTTGTGCATTTCTGACAAGAAACCCTAAGAAGTGTTCGTTGAATTGGTAACTGTAGCTGGGGACCTTAGCAAGAGTCATTTCACTGGAGTCCTGAGATTCAGAGGCCAGATTGCAGTGGGTTGAGAGGTGAATGGGAGATTTAAAAGCAGAGCCCATTCTCTGGAGAAGTTTGACAGTGAAGGAAAGGAAGAGAAAGTAGGAGCTAGGAGGGACTATAGATGCAAGGGAGGATTATTACTGTTGTTTTTTTAATAATTAAAGCAATTTGAGCACAGTTATACGCTAAAGGGAACATACATGTGGAATGCTTTGAGAGGGTGGAAGGTAAGGGCTTGGTAGTGACTGATGAACTGATGTGTGCTTGGCTGTTTCGTGTAGGAGTGGCAATACTTCAGAGGAGCATCCGACTCTACGCCCCCTTTTACTCCTCGGATATCCTCATCGCTTCCCCTCTGGGCTTGAGGACCATCATTGGTGGAGAAGGAGAGAAAAAGAGGGATTTTGACTTTTTGTCTTCTATTGAGCTTCTCATCATTGATCAAGCTGACATTTACCTGATGCAGAACTGGGAGCATGTCCTGGTAATGCTGGTCATTCACATGTAGAGGGACAACATTTATATTAGAGAGACAGGTAGCTCAGTGGTTCAAGTCCTAAAGGGTTATTTAAGTCTAGGTTAAAACTCAGTTTGGAAACGTGGAAATACTTCACATTTGAAAAAGTCTTTGTCCCTTTTTCTAGCTGCAGATTGGTCAATCAGAGATAAAAATTCTTGTAAGTATTTTCAAATCTCCAGAAAAGATTTTCTATCCTTAAAGGTCGCTTTCTACTAATAGTCTACTTTATGGTGGGTGGGTAGATGGATGGCTGATTGGTTAGTTGAAAATCCTTATCAGGAACATCTTTACCTAACATAATTCCTCATACAGGATATACTCATTCTCTTTTGTCTTGTCTTTAGTAGAGATAGGAAAACATTGCTTAAGATTTTGTAATGTGGGATCTTGTTTTACAGAGATATATAGGATGTCTTTATCTCCCTACTATAATTTGTGCTGTAAAATTTTTTCCCCTTCTCCATATACACTGCAGTGTTAATCAGTTTTAAAATTGAAAAACTCCTATAACCCCATGACACGAAGCTTGCAGGAAGTTTGGGACAAATAAAGGGTGGTACTTACTTATAAAGTAGGAAGTAAATTTATAGTACTCATTACCTTCAAGATATATTACAAAGTGAAAATATAATTAAGATGGAAAAGACAGGTTAATGGTTGAGCCATATTCTTTAATTTGAGGAAAAGGGAGGTGGGGTTGCTCTGGGAATACTCCTAATGTTTTGAGAACCAGGTCATTGAGGGACAGCAGCTCTGTTTTCAATGTCATTTCCTTTCTTGTCCAAGTCTGGGACTGGGGGACCCATAGAGTGACTAGGGTGGCATTTCAGTAGTTCCTTTTAAAGGAATATTCCTATAGGTACCATTTTGATCTTTTTTTAAAGGTCCAGAAGGTGGCCAGTTTTAGCTTCTTTTCTTCTGGGGGTGTTTGGCTGACCATGGGCAAGTCAGCTTACCTATGTGAGTCTTGGTTTTTTTGTAATTTGGGAGATGATAATATGTGCTCTGTGGAATTAATTGAGATGACTGATTTGTAAAATGCTTAGCAGTGTCCAACACGTAAATACTCAATAAACATTAATGGTAGTGTTATTTCTGCTCAAAGCATTTGATGAACCACATGAACCTACTACCCCTGGACTCTCATGGTGTAGACTTTTCTCGAGTGCGGATGTGGAGCCTCAGTAATTGGTCCAAGTACTATCGGCAGACACTGCTGTTTGGGGCCCTGCAGGATGCCCAGATCAACTCAGTGTTCAACAAGTACTGCACCAATTTGCAAGGCCAGGTGGGTTCTGTCCTTGTTTCCTCTGTATCTTCATGAGCATTGTTTATTGTTTGGGTCGTGAGGCAGAAGGAGAAGATAGCATTTAGTCAGCAAGGGGCTGGCTTGCCTCCTGATGCTCTCATTGATGACTGGCAGGTGGCTGTGAAGAATGTTCCAATGACAGGCTCCATCAGTCATGTCCTGGTGCAGCTCCCACATGTCTTCCAGAGGATGGAAGTCGACAGCCTAGCTTCAGTGATCGATGCCAGGTAAACCACCCCTCCTATCAGCCCCTGGGGGCCACAGAGAGAAATTTGACTTTGGCATACAAATTTAGAATTACATTCCATTTTGTCTCTATTGATTACTGTTTACAAAATTAGATGAGATAATTGAATTTAATTATGCCATTTAACCCAGAAATGGTAACTTGGCTTAGGTCTCATAGCTAGTTAGTGGCAGGGTTAGTACCGTAAGTCAGGACTCCTTCCCTCTTTCTTGACTGTGGCATTTTTAAAATAATGCTTCATGCTGCACAGTGTCCCATGTTAGCAACTTACTGTAAGCTCCCCAGGCCAAGGCCTACGTGTCTTATTCTGTAGATATTTTTCCCCTTTGCCTCATTATGTTTAGTTAGGGGTAGCATAAGGATACTTAGTGTACGGTAGATGGTAGATGTTCAGTGATTATTTGTTGACTGAATGAATGAATGGTGTGGTATATACATCCTAGAATAATTCTCTGGGATATAATAGCATTACATGCTTGTTTTTGGTTTTTTGTTTGTTTGTTTGTTTGTTTGTTTTTAGAGACAGGGCCTTGCTCTGTCACCTGGACTACGAGGCTAGAGTGCAGTGGTGTCATAGCTCACAGCAACCTCAAACTCCTGGGCTCAAGCGATCCTCCTGCCTCTCAGCTTCCCAAGTAGCTGGGACTGCAGGCACATGACCACTACACCTGGCCAGTATTTTTAATTTTTTGTAGAGATGAGGTCCCACTATATTGTTCAGGCCGGTCTTGAACTCCTGGCCTCAAACGATCCGCCTGCCTCAGCCTCCCAGAGTGCTAGGATTACAGACACAAGCCACTGTGCCCAGACTACGTGTATTTTTTACAATGAATGGTGTTAACACTTATTTTTTTAGTGTGCTTATCAAGTTTTATCCTTACATAATCTTTTTGAGAGAAGGTAAGTCATATTGGCCTCTGCAGAGGTAATCTTTTAACATGAGACTGTGACTCGCCCTGGGTCACTCAGTTAATAGACACCCTAAGCTCAATTCTAGAACACTAATTTTGCCCTTTGCTGTTCCAAATCAGGTTTAACTTTTTTGTGAACAAGATTCTACCTCAGTATCGCGATGCAGTGATGTCTCACACGCTCATCTACATCCCCTCCTACTTTGATTTCGTGCGTCTCCGAAATTTCTTTAAGAAGGAGGAACTCAACTTCACCCACATCTGCGAGTATACCCAGAAGTCTGGCGTCTCCAGGGCCAGACACTTTTTTCTTCAAGGAGAGAAGCAGTTTCTGCTCCTCACAGAGCGGTTCCATTTCTATAAAAGGTAAAGTAGTGCCAGGTTTCACCCCCTCTCTGAAGGGGAAATGCAGTACAAATCATGGCCTGCTTCTGAGCACTTGGTAGGCTTCGTGGGGTTATAAGGTCATCCCTCACTCTGCCACTCTTGTAGAGAAGCCAAAGAGTTTTTGGGCTGAAGAGACTCTTCTTGGTCGGTTCGTTGGTTTCCTCCCAAAATGAGCATTATTGGAAAAGGTTGTGAAAACAAAAACATAACCTGCATATAGACCTAGAGTGTAGCTGTGGTTGTACCTCAAGAACTTTACACAGGGACAACTTAGGTAAATACAGGAAGGAGAGAGACCTGTCACTGAAGCCCAGACAGAAGCATCGAGGGCTGTGTAGTCTGGGGAGATGGAGACTGAGCACATCCTCGGAACTCAGTCAGTTACATTGTTCCTGAGGAGAGCTGTGCACGGTTACTTCCTCACAAGGAGAACCAGGACTGTGGGCCCTTTGAGGTTTGCAGGAGGCAAAGGGGGAAGGGGCTTAGAGTTGAATATTTAAGATTTCAGTGTTTACTTAGATTCCCCATCAAGTGACTTTGATAAAGTAAGTTGATTGGCCTTTTTGTTATTATTTTTTAAAAAATTCTAATTAGAGGGTTAGTAACATTGAGACTTCTGTTACCATTTGGGATAGTGGCAGCACTTTGTGGCCCCAGAACTCACGTAATTGAATTATTTTACTGACAAATGGAAAAGCCTTTTTAAAACCTTTACCTATAGAGAAACGGAAATGGAAATTGTATTCTATTACGTCTTCTTTATTGATTTCACAATAATGTCCAGTGAATTTAAGTTCTGACTTTACTGTTTTATGAACTTGCAATCATATGTACTAAAGAAGGGTACATTTTCTCAGAGAATCCCAAACAGATAAGCCAGAAGCCTTCAAGGCTTTGGAGCACAGTAGATGATTCACCTTGGCATTGTGTTGCCTTTTAGTATATGCTGACGTGAGGTTGGTGTTCCCCAGCTGTGTTCTTGTCACCAGGATGGGGGTGGAGGAATCTCAGCAGTCTGCTTGGGCACAGCAGAGCTGGCATGACGTGACCTCTTTAGGTATTCTGCTGACTAATTCATCTATGAGTAGAGAGTTGAGAATTGACTAAATTTGTGTTTCCTGGGCTCCATTCTTGGCTACCTAGACAAGGCTGTTTGGCCAAAGAGTGTTAATGAATGCCTGCTGTTGGCATCATTATTTGCTTTGTTCTAGTAAGTTGAGTTTTCATTCATGCCGGAAAGTATTTTGGGGGAGTTGCACACATCAAGGTCTTAAAAGCCCTTAGCTTTCTATCATCTTGACAAGTGAAAGCAAGCCCTTTAAGTGAAACAGTTGGATTGGAAAACATCCCAGTGTGATTGTTTGTGTAGCAAGTGTGAATTAAGCTGGGATGCGGACTGATCTCAAATATCTCTAGCTTTTCAAGGACAGGGCCTGGAGCCCCTTTGTAAGCAGGACAGTCCCCTATCTTACCCTGTTCATTTATTTACCAAGCCTTGTTGCCCTCCAAGTCATTATAAAGACAAATCTCAGCATATGCCATTTGCTTTATGCCCTGGACCAGGTTAATTGGTGTTTCCTAAGCTGAAGATGAATGAAAAGAATGTGCTTCCCAGTTCTGCAGCAGCTAATTATCTCAAGGTTTCCAGCTATAGAATTTTTTGCTTGAGCAATCACCAGGGTGATGATGGGTCTTCTGGTCTGCACTGCCTTTGTGATTTGATTTTTTATTTGACCTTGGGAAAAGTTCATGTATTTTAAACTGTAGTTTCCAACTCTGAAATTCCGTTTTTATATTCTCTATGACAGTTGGCAGTGTTAGGAAGATTAGAATTCATTTTTGAGCAGACATTTTTTTAGCCTGAAGATTTGCTTTCTTTGGGGAAGGTGAAACTAGTAGAGTCTTGGAATTGGTTGTACATTTGGTCATGATTGCCCTCCCAGGGGTGGGTCACAGCTCTTTTCCTGTGCGTTATCAATGGGTCACCACAGCAGAGAGGATCTCAACCAGGGGCAAGTCAGAAACTCTGGAGGTGGGATCTGTGGAGTCTGGAGAGGGTGCTGGGGTGTTGCTGGGTACTCCCTGCCCCTATACGAGAATCTCAGTTTTCAGTTTTTATAGACCACAGGGAGGAGCCAGCCTTTCAAGTCAGTTGTAGTTGCCTCATTTATCTTTAACATTTGTCAGGTAAAATTGACATCTGGAATGTCCTTAGTTTTAGGTGCTGTCAGGGCGGTTAGGCCATATTTGTAGGGGTCACTAAAGACCCAAAACATATACAAGAGAGGAAGAAGGCAGGGGAAGGGGTGAGAATGGACACTAACTGCCCCTCTGAGGAGGCCCTGGTCATGTTCCTCCTTCCAGGAGATACCTAGTCTCTAGGGTGGGTGAACGGGGACTGAGGTAGATGTTCTTGTGGGGTTTTTTTGTTTGGTTTTGTTTTTTAATATAACATTTACCTTGGTTTTGTTGTTTTGTTTTTCCTGATTACAGAGGTATTACACCATTACTGTAGAGCACTTGGAAAATCTAGGTTAAAAAAAGGAAAATAGAATCACCTATAATCTCAGTGCCCTGATACAAATATCCTTTTTGGTGTATTTTTTTCCTGTCTTTATTGTATGAAAAATATGTGCATGCATGTGCGTGCACACACACCCGTATTTACAGCTGTTTTTTTTTAAATACCAAAATTGGGATCACACTGTACACATTGGGGTTTTTTCCTTTGTATTAAATGTTTTATGTGCTCATTGAAAAACAATTCAAACATGTTAACATTTTGGCATATATATTTGAATATCAGGGATATATTTTTAAGTTAACATGTATAGCTCTATTATATCCTGCCTCCCCCCAGCTTTTCATTTGGAAATATTTCATTTCAAAAGAAAATTTTAAGACTCTAACAGTAAACATCTGTGAACCCTTTCCAAATTCACCTGCTGTTAGCCTTTTACCACATTTGCACATACTCATGTTCTCTCTCTCCACTCACATCTCTTATTTTTTTCTTTCCTGAACCACTTTAAAGTAAGTCGCAGGAGCCTTCATGACACCTCCCTTCTAAATATTTCAGCAGGTAGCTCCTGAAAACAAGCATTCTTTTCTCTAACCACAATGCCATTATCATACGACTTGATGTTACTACAATAATATTATCTAACATATAGTCTATATTTAAATTTTCCTAGTTGCCCCTAAAACGATCATTATAGCTCTTTTCCCCTAATTTAGGGTTAAGGATCATATATTGCATTTGGTTAACTTCTTTTGTTTCTTTAATCTAGCTTAGTCCTCAACTGGGGGGCAGTTTTGCTCCCCAAGGAACATTTGGCAATATCTTCAGACATTTTAGGCTGTCACAGCTGAAGAATTATTCTAGTGGTTCCAGTGGGTCGAGGCCAGGATGCCGCTAAACATCCTAGTGCACAGGACAGCCCCCACAAGAAAGGATTATCTGGCTCAAAATGCCAGTAGCATCGAGATTGAGAAGCCCTGATCTAGAATAATGCTCTGGCTTTTTTTTTTTCCCCACAACATTGCCGTTTTTTGAAGAGTCCAATCTGGTTTCCTGTAGAATGTCCCACAACCTGCATTTATCTGGGTTTTTTTAATCATTAACATTTGGGTCAGTGGTTCCCAAACTTTGCTATCCATTAGAATCCCCTTGGGAAGCTTTTAAAAGCTTCCTCTTAGCCGAGATCTCCTCTCAGCTGTCACTGAGCCCTGTACTCCTGTGCCAGAGGAGGGTCTCTCCCCACTCTGGCCCTCTCCCAGCACCAGGCCGCTCTTGCCTGTTACTCTTTGCAAGGCAAGAGCTGGGAGGGAGGGTTTTCCTCCTAGTCCAGCTTAGTATTAGGCAGGCTCTGTTCATTCTGGGCTTTGGTGGCGGGACTTTTCCTCAGGGTTCCTGCCCCACCACTTCCCATGGCAGCCAAAACTCAGCGTTGGATCTGTGAGGTGACTTGGTGGGAAAGAGTATCCTGCTTCTCTTCCAGTGGTGGCAGAACTCTGTTGGTGTAGGGTCTTGGGCTGAACAGGTTTCTTGCCCCTTTCCAGAGGCAAAATGCTATTGCTTCTTACTACTGGGTGCAAGCCATGTGGTGGGGAGAGATGGGAGGGTGGGGGGTTTACCTCCCCTCCCTTAAGGGCAGACAACTTTTGCTTCTACTTACCCTCCCCCTACCAGTAGCTTCTGTTTCGGGCTTTTGCTGTGGGTTTCAAGGTATGGATCTGGGAAGTAGGTGGGCTTTCATGTGCGCACCACCGTGGGGTCTCTCTTGGGTCTTCTGCCTTCGCTCCAGTCTCTCTCTTGGCTCCCGGTGGATGTGGACTAAAGGAGCGACCAGGGATCCCAGGCAAGCCCGTACTTGCCCTTTAAGAATTTGTTAAAGGTTAGCTATTTCTTCCTACCCATTTTTTGGCAGCCACCCTGTTTCTCCTGTGCTCTGCCAAGGGTATGGTAGTTTGTGGTCCTATTTTTCCTCAGAAGGGCTTGGTTGCTCTTTGGAATTCAGTCAGTGGTGGGCTGAAGCTGGCTCATACTGGCTCATGAGATCTGGTTGCATGTCTCTTCCCAACTCTACGTTCAGCAGCATGACATTGGTAGCTTGAAATTGGCTATGGTGGGAGTATTTACACCACAGAAAGTAGTGAATTCTTCAAATCAGCACCTTGTTTTTCCCACTGAGAACCAGTTATTAAACATACACCAGCCCAGCACTGAATTCAGTTCTTCTGATTGCCTCATGACAGTAGCTTTCTGGGCATAAGAAAACGAATGTTTTTGTAGATTATCTAGCTTCTTCTTGTTAATATGGGAGAAACATTCTCTTGAGTGTTGTACTTACTAAGCAGAAGTGGAACTCAGTGTTTGTTTTTGTTTTGATAACTGGTGAAGTAGAACCGTTTATTCAAGTTTATTAGCCATTAGAATTCCTTCTTTATAGAAAGGTGAGTTGAAAGGCAAACCACATGATGGATCACAGTTATAGTTTGGAAGAGCAGGGTTTCTAGAGAGATTAGGATGAACTGTGAGATAAAAAGACAAGCTTATCCCCCTCTGTGAATACAATAAAATTCCCAAGGGAGGCTAACATTTTCCACATATGAGTGAGTCTAACAGGAAGGATCAGAACCTTGTCAATGGATAAAATCTTTTGTTGTGGAGTACCAGAGGGAACATTTGACATCGACCCAAACCATATGGTGAGTCCCTTGAGTCTAACCCCCCACCACCACTGTGCAGCAGGGAAGGAGGTGGAAATGCATAAGCTATTGAAACTGATTGCTTTCTCATGATGCCTAATGGGTCCTCAGGCAGGATTTTGTACATGGGTGAACTTGGGACATCTGCCATGGAGGTAACATGTCTACAGAGTGACAAGAAAAGACTAAGGGGAATGCATTTACAATTGTGCAGTTTATTCTATGTAACTGGGTCTGACCTGATCTCTGGTACACAACATTCTTTTTGTCCTTATGATAAGAATAATGTTAAATCATAAATGCCTGCTTTCTAAGTTTTCTGTGACAGGTCTTTCATCCTGGTCTACTATTCTTTCCCACTGTACCTCAGCCTGCACAGAGTAGGCTCAAGAAGTGCAAATTTATTTTGTCATTGTCTTAAACTAAACATTAGGAATTCAAATACATTGTCACAAAAATAAGTCTTTCCAGCTCAAATTAAAATAACATTTATTCTGTTATTTGTGCCGTTATTTTCCTCCTTTAGCATGAAGCAACAAGAGTGAACTATGCTTCTGTACAACTCTTAGGTAGCTTTTCCATAAATTGTTTCTTTCTCAAGTAGACATAGCCTCTTTCTTTCCCATTCTAACAGATATACAATAAAAGGCATCAGGAACCTGATTTTCTATGAACTGCCAACGTATCCACACTTCTACAGTGAAATCTGTAATATGCTGAGAGCTACCGACAGAGGAGAAGAAGCCACGTGGACCTGTACTGTCCTCTACTCCAAGTACGATGCCCAGAGGTTAGCTGCCGTAGTTGGTGTGGAGCGAGCAGCACAGATGCTACAGTCTAAGAAGAATGTTCACCTCTTTATTACTGGAGAAAACTGAGATTTTGTTGGACAGAAAATGGCATTTGGCATGATATATAATACTTGAACCTCTGCCACTTGGACCCAATTCTGATTATTTATACAGGAGAGGGATTGATACAAGTAAAGAGCACTAGCCAATGTCAGTATTATCTGATACTTCTTTCTTTTCAGGTCATTTGTCCCTGAAAAGTTACATGTAAACCAAATTTTGGTAAATCATACCTTTCAGAGATGAAGAGGAGGTTAGAAGGACTCTGAAAAGATCACAGAAGGCAACTTCCACTTGTAAATCTTTTTGTAAGCCGTAAATTCTTTTATTATGATTTTATCTCTAACTTATTTCACTTGGTAAATTCTTTGAAATTTGCCTATTTGTTTCACACTTTCTTAAAGTAAGGCATACACATCATTGCTTGTGAAAACTGGTTATGAGAAATTGGAATGCTTTTTGCTGCTGCATGTCATCTTAATTTTGGATGGCATAGGTTTTGTAAAACTGTTATCTTCTGCCAGCCAAACTTTTTTAAACCTTATTCTACTTCAGTTCAATCTAGAAGAGTACATTCATTCACTAATCTTTTTTTAACTCATAATAGTAAATGTTTTGAATCCCAGCTTTTCCTTCCACTAATCTCCAAGTGGAGTTAGGCACCAGCTGACCCTCCTCTAGCTTGGGGGGCCCCAGTACTTGCTTTTTATGAGGAACAGAGCCAGGACTGACTTTGCATATGGGAAGTGGGCTGAGAAAGCTGTCCCCCTCTTTCAGGCAGGAGCAGAAATTGACCTGCTCCCCTTCTGAGGGTCAAAAAAGTCCCTCAGGGCAGAGCAGAGCAGGGCAGGGCAGGGCAGGGCAGGGCTGGGTTGTCCTTTGGAATTAGAGCCTGGGTTGATTCTATAAATATTGGTTTAGGGAGGGGCTACGTACAGTGAAAGGATGGCCTTTTGAGTCTCATGAGGTAATAACCACATTTTAAAAGAACAATTTATGGCTGGCCAGGTAAGGATTAACTTGGATTAACTCTAGTGGAGAAACTATCTTTATAACCATTTAAGATGTGGGGAAACTGAGGCTCCAAGTGGCAGACGATTGCCCACCTTGTTATCAGCAGGGCTGGGAGGGGAAACTGGGAGGTTCCAGGGTCTCTAGCTTTTCCCATCCCCTTTGCTATTAAAAGAAGGAAAAACGGTACCCTGCTGTCTACAGACTATGTCAGGATCATGACGATTTCCTTCATGACCCTGCCCTTGCCTAAATTTCCCGGGCTGTTCCACCTCATTCAACTAAGGTGAGGAAAAGGATTAGGCCTGCTCCAAAGATTATTTTATTTATTTCATTTTATTTAAAATTTTATACCCTTGTGGTTTTTTTCATTTCCTTGTAAAATTTATCAAACAGTACTAGAAAATAACACAAAATGTGGTAAAGGCTTCTATAGGGGAAAAAAAAGTTTTCATTTAGTTAAAATGTATGTTTCGGATTACATTATGTAAGATAATAATTTCTACTCTATTTCAGAAATTTGTTGAAGCTCAATGTTGAAACATCAATCTTCAACATCAGTGTCTTCGTAATTACTGTAGTCATTTTTTGAGTTATAACAGATAAAAAAGAAATTGTACTTTTTAAAGCATTTTTATTTTGAAACATTCTCAGATAGAAGAATTACAAGTGCAGAACCTGAACCATTTGAGAGTAAGTTGCTGACCCAGTAGGCCTATCACCCCAAATACGTTAGTGTGTATTTCCTATAAACAAGGATATTGTTCTATATAACCACAAAATAGCTATCAAAATAAGGAAATTGCCATTAATACCTTATTGCCATCTAATCCTTGGACCCAGTTCAGATTTTGCCAAATGTCCCAATAATGTTCTTTATAGCAAAAGAAAGCAGTTCAGCATTACATATGGCCTTTTGGTGCCATGTGTGTTTTAGTGTCTTTTATTCTAAAATAGGTACCTCAGCTTTTTGTGGCTTTCTTGACCTTGACATTTTTAAAGATTACAGGCCAGTTATTTGGTAGGATGATGTTTCCTTATGATTAGGTTTAGGTTATGCATCTTTGGCAGGGACAGCACAGAAGTGATGCCTGTGTCCTCACTGCATCCCATCAGGTAGCACATGACTTCCATTTGTCCATTGCTGATGATGCTAACTTTGACCACTTGTTTAAGGTGGTATTTGCCAGACTTTTCCACTGTAGAGTGACTCTTTTATGCTTCATATATTAATTTATACAGATCGAAGCTCCCTAATCCAAAAATCTGAAGTCCAAGATGCTCTAAAATTCAAAACTTTTTGAGCACCGACCTGAGCTCAAAGGAAATGCTCATTGGAGCAGTTTGAATTGCAAAATAATGCAGATATTTCAAAATCAAAAACAAAATTCGAAATCTGAAACACTTCTGGTCCCAAACATTTCAGCTAAGAGATATTCAACCTGTACAAGTATGGACTTGTATTTTCCTTCATTCAGTGGGTGCCATTCCAGTACTGTCATTATTTCTTCAGATGTGTAACTAGTCTCCGAGATGGCTAGTGGGAGCACCGTCAAGCTGGCTTCTGTGTCCTTTTGACATGTTCCCCTTCAACTTGGGCATTGCTGTATTTTTTGACTATAGAAATTTCAGGTTTCTCTACTCCAACCCTGCTTTCTTTTAGTGGAAAATTATTTTAAAAGCTAAGATTTGAGTGCTAGGTGTGCTTACATCTATAGATGTGCCCTGTGGGTATTGGCATATTTATGCTGCTGTTTACCATAGATCCTATATATTATGAGAAAAGAAATGAGTTTTTTAGCCTAGTTCAGAAATATGAGGCAAAGGGACTATGATCACCCCCATTTTCTTCTGTTTGCATATTCTTTTGCCTGTGAATCGTAGCTCATCTCATGGCTTTTACTATCACTATTCACAAGACTCCTTGATCTCCAGCTTCTCTGGCTCTCCACTCCTATGTGAGCTTGGATTTCAGGTCCATGATGTAGCCCCAGACATGTGCATTTTATTAAGCATCCCTAATTATTTCCATTCTGGCTTGGAGCCAAACCCAGCCAACTGCTGCTTGTCTGCAGAGAACACTGAAGATTTCAAATGTGAACAAAGAACCGTTGCCCTGTTCCTGGCTCGTCACCTGGAAAGAAGGTAAGACTCAGCAGTTGGCCCTGGCTTTTGAGTGTGTTGCAAAGACTTGAATGTCGGAGTGGTTTCATTAAAAGGATGCCTTAACATACGGTCTCTCATATACACACAAGGGAGAGAGGAAAGGCTACTGGAATATGGATAATAATGCATGAATTGGAATTACACACCGTGTTGATATTTGTTAGCAAGTCTTATTTGCAGCAAGCAAGTGCCTACATAGTGACTGTAAAAAATAGACAAAGGAATGGTCCCAATCCTGGGAAGAGTGGAATTATAAGGTGAGGAAGGGAAACTTTCCAGAAAGTAAGACTTTTAAACTTTTTTCCTTTCCCCATAGTAATAATAACTAGCTTAGCACTTTTCTTTTTGAAGGAGAAAAAGCTTCTCACAGCTGGCTGCACCATGTGCAATATTCAAAAAACAAGAACGAGCTAATCATAGAGAACCAGCAGCAGCTAAACAGCCCTCTGCTGGCTTCCAAAGGGCTTATAATTGAGTGCAGATGGCCTCGGCAGGGATGAGGAGTGTGTCCCTGCCGACTCCTCACACCCCAGAGGTTCGAGGGTGGCTCATGAAGGCTCTCAGCCTTGATTGTGCCCTCGTGGGGGCAAGGAGCCAGGCCGCTGAGGAAGGAGAGGGAAAGGCAGGTGGTGCCAGAGCCTGCTGGCCGCCTTCTGCCCAGCCTTCCCAAGGCCACACGGATCTTCAGGCTGCCAGAGTTCAGATTTGATGAGTCTGGGGTCTCAAGATTACAGAAGGCCTGGGGCGAGAGAGCAGGAGTTGGAAGTTCTTTATAATCATCTGAAGAGCCTCATTGTGCAACCTGCAGGTGGCTGTGAGGTGCCAGAAGCTTTGTGGAAGAGGAATGTGGTGGAAATGCCTCCACTACTGCTTTCAGGGCCTTTGCAGCTGGCCCTCCCTCCCCCGCCTCTCCTCCCCTTCCAGTCCCTTTCCCAGTTTCTGTCTCTTAAAGGAATATCGTAGTGATATTCATCACCAAATTTCTACTCCACACTTCTCATTTTAAAAAGCTTTTCTGGAAACCTGGCTACATAGAACTCTAAATAATTGTCAGTCAGCCTATAATTATATAGTCAGTGAATGGGGAGTAGATACATAGATAATTCAAAATTGATATAATCTTTGGAAGGTGAAAAAGGGAGATAAGAATTCACTCTCCTTTCCCTCTGAGTCTAGTCGCTTCCTCCGAAGTGAACCCCACCATGTTCGGCTGACAGGAGAAAGTATGTTTCTTTCTAAAAACTTGACATCTCTTCCTCCTATACCATGTGCTCTAACCAGAATTGCAATAAAACTCTGGTATTTTTTGTCCTGTTTCTAAAGCTAAACATGCATTCCTACGCACTCACCAAGTTTGCTTTGTTTCTATTTCCCTTCTACGAGGACCTTCCCCTCTTCGGAGGTGGGCAGGAGTTGCCTCTGCTGGCATTGCATGTATTTAAGAGTAGTGAGTCCTGGGTTCTCCTTACACCTCTGGCCACACTGCCGTTATTCCTAGGGGAAGTAATGGCATGAGAATGAACGGAGCTCCAGGCCTTTTTCAAACAAATGGGCTGGTTTTCTCAATAGTTAGATCCCTGTGCTCGAGTCAGGACTAAGATCTGATTGTCACAAGGAGTCGTTTTCTCTGCACAGGGAAATCTCATCCTGTCCCTGGTGGGCATCTCAATCCAGATGTCCCCTTAGTGCTGGGGAAACATCTCACTTGCCTCCCCTCATTATGGCCCCTCACAGTCAGGTGAGGGATGGCACATTCCTTGGTGCTCCTGGCCAGGCTTTCGTGGTCTTCAGTCTTGGGCCTCTGCAGCTGGCCGTGACCAGATGGCAACTGTAGCCTCTGCTGACCCCAAAAGGGAAGGAAGGCAGTCTGCCGCTTGGCTGATTTGGAAGCTGTGCTGAATTCCTGCCCATCTGCTCTCCCAGCTGAGCCAAGGCCAAAGCTGTCTACCTCTTGCCAACCCAGGGAGTGACACGGAGCACCACCACTGAGGCGTCTGCCCTGGTGTCCTGCAACCCTTGTCCTCACTGACCTCTGCAGGGAGAGATGGCCCTGGGCTCACAGCTGGTGTTTGTCCACAGATGTTCATGGGTTTCTGTCTTGTGTTCTCTCATTTTTCAAAGCCAGCCTGGAGCTGGGTGTTGGGACGAACATCGCCACCGACATCCTGTGGCTCTGAGCAAGTCCTCACGGCCACTTCTC